AGGGCACAATACTGATAAGGCAAAAAGGAAAATTGTATATTGATAGATATAAAACAAAGGAAGAAGAAAAAACGTTACTGCGTGATGGATTTAAAATGTTATAATAACCTACCGCAGGAGATAAAGATGGAAACAAAATTTACAAAGTTATAGAAGGGAATTAGCAAAATAGACAAAATGCATATCAGACAAAATATTAGACAAACCCGCCTTGACTAAATACCGCCTTCTACACTCATTTGTATTGAAAAAAATTTGGCCTTTTTACGTTTATTAAATCATTATTCAAGTAGCAAATTAATGTTATTATTTGTCATCAAAATAATGACGAATAATGTCAATACGCTGCCTGGGTAATAATAGTTAATGTGTATTTAAAAAAGAAACAAACTTTAAAGTGTTAACTACATTGTCTTATTAATACGAAAAGCATCAAAAGATCTACATCTCGAATTGAATAATACATTGGTAAACTAACTAAAAATCTCTTTACTAACTGCCTGAGAGAATTTATTCGTGGAAAGATACGCGGCCATCGTTGATGCCATTCCCAAAGGAACTTAAAGGTTGCATCAAAGCTAAAGAAGGTCATTTTGAATGTTAACTTAAATATTATTTTTTAAGATAATATTGATTAAGATAAAATCAATCAACTCTGGAATCTTTAAATAAATATATGTTATTAATGATTTGGCAAGCACACAACTTTATGATCAAACTATTTTATCACCCTGTATATCTTGTACGGATTACACAGTGTATTTAGTGTAATTTCGAGAAACATATATTCATCAGGTGCGTATGAAAAGTTGTGCAGAGTGTCGAGTTTAATAACGTGTTTGCAATTAATTTTGGCGCTTAAAGGTGATGCAAGACACTTCGCTGTGCGAAGATATATCGTCATTTCGGTAGATATAGGTACTGCTGTAGAGGTATATGTATGTATAATAACATCGATTCTCTTCGCGCTACAACTTCAATGGAACGTCGCAACGTTCTTGCGGTATCTTCTCCACCCGCCCGCGACGAACTCGAGTTTGGCAAATTGGCTTCTCGACTTACAATCAACCGCATTCCGCAAACGTGTTACACGCGCGTTCGCTCGATATCTATAATTCTCATACAATGCTTGTCGAGAGAAACATCAGACTATCAATATCCGCATTTACATATTATGCGCATTGCACACACAATTGTATCGCGATCGACGCATTAAGAAATTCGAGTGAATTTACTCACGAAATCGAGTTTCTTTGCCCCGCCTTTGTTCCTCCTCCTCCTCCTCCTCTCTCTCTCTCTCTCTCTCTCTCTCTCTCTCTCTCAATAGCAGCCAGTGATCAAAGTAAATTACAGAATTGTAGGATGAAAATAATCGTCTATAGAACAAATTCGACGTCGATATAAAAAGCAATTTGTATTTCCACGTCTATCGCGTTGTACAATGAATTATCGACCCTTTCATTCCAGTGCGATAAATATTACCTCTTTTACCGCTTCAATGAAAATATCTCTTTCAAATAAATTCTGATTTCATCGATATTTTCGAAACATGGTTTATTATAAAAAGCCGTAATTTATGCAGTTTCTATTGGCGATACGTGTATAACAGTGATTTGGTGAATAAATAATGGATTTAGAGTGCGCAGAGAGTGTCGCAATATACGAAGAATCGTCCGAATTTGCTCGTTATAATGTTACAGTTATAATTAACTTTTGTTCAACGGTAACATACAGAAATCGGGACAAAATCAAAAGATATATATATATATACGGACAAGTTAACAAACGAAGTCGAAATCTCAGTCGGCTACTCGCAAATAACCCGTCGCTTAAAAATTCAATTTTCCGTGACGTTCGTAAGAAAGTTCACGTTCCTCGATGAAATTTCCGGACACTTCATTTCTCGATTCCTGGGACAGAGGTGGCACACGATAAAAGTCATCCGGAAGAGTAAGGAAACGCCGTTTGGGAAACGAGGAAAATTTGTTCTGCTAATTCAGGCAATGTTTATTCTCCCAAAGCTAACAGCCGGCAGAACCTAGACGCGTTAATTACCGAGCATGTCTAATTCAGTTTG